AATAAGTTTAGTCTATTTCTAATGTTACAATCCACTCATTTATGTCCCCATTCATGCTACACTTAAAAAGCCTAGCACATATTAAATGTTGACAACGAGTAACAACAGAGGTTAAGAGATCTTTTATACATAGAATGAGATACTGAAACATGTTTATACCTACATTCAAGATTCTCTTAATTCAAAACTACGATGGAATATCATCAGTACTGTTTTCAGAAGTTCCGCTGATATCATCAAGGTGAAGCTACGTCAAACTACTTTGATGAAGTTTCTCTTACCTATGACAGTGGAACGTTTGCTCCACCATCTCAAATCAGATGAACTAGTGGCCCTGATGTTATTCACCCGCAAATCTCGAGAGATTTCGAGGAGACGATTAATTATTCAAGAGTAGTGCTGTCTATCAGATCATTGTAGCAGTTTAAACCACCAAGAGCATGGAAATATGACAAATTTAGCCAGGCAAATGAAATCACCGTAAGCATTTGATTAACAACTGTTATACAGTTGCAATAAGTGATATGTAAGAAGCTGTTTCTGACATTATTTTGTGCTACATGGAAGGAAACGGCCTGTTTTGTAATGTAAACAATTGACTTAGAAGTGTTAACGAGAAACAAAATAAAGTCGTGAATTATTGTCAATCTCTAATAGGACGGGTAGTACCAGAACGTCCTATTGATACGATCGATGTGGGACTCTCGTCTTATGGCATCAAGAATCTGGGGGATGAACGCGAGTCATTTGACTTCGTATCTATAACCGTCAGGGGAGTAGTGTAACAGATCCGCCCACTATTCAGATTCAGATTTGTGTAGTAGTACAGAAGGCCTACGGCCTATGTTATTCCTTTTCTAGTATGCTTTTGTGAGTGTGCAGTCTTCTCTTGAAAGAGTCAGTTGAAGGTGCGGACACCACTGCTTCAGGCAGCAGGTTCCAAGTATTGATGGCTCGGTGTGAAAACCTGTATGCCACGGGTATTTTGTTCGTTCTTGGCTTTTCTAGTCGCCTGCTATGTCCTCTGAGGTGTCCCGGTTTAGTGGGAAGAAAGAGAGAGAACAAGTTACGTCCGAAATCATTTCTCAGTATTCTGTACATTAAAATTAGATCTCCCCTTAGTCTGCGACAGGACATAGTAAAGAGGTCCAGTTTTTCAAGCCGCTCTTTGTATGATAAACCCCGTGGTTCCGGAATTGCACGGGTAGCTGCCCTCTGTACTTTTTCTAGTATGTCCGAGTCACCTTTTAAACAGGGGCTTGCAGCCTGAACACAGTTCTCTAACTTAGTTCTCACTAAGGATGTGTATACTGTGGTGAACATGGTAGAATCTAACTTAGTGAATGTCCTTTTTAAAGCTCAGAGGGTTCGAAACCCCTTAACTGCGACCTCCCGGCAATGGGCCGTCGTCTTAAGATCATTACTCACTGTCACCCCTAGATCCTTATGAGACCGGACTACAGGTAATGACACATCCTCTATGTTGTACGTATTAACCTTCGAATCCCTCAAGTGCATGTAGACACAATTTTCCGAGTTGATAGGCATCAGCCACTCTTTAGACTAGTTTATCATATTATTTAAGTCTGCCTGAAGAGTAAATACGTCATTGTCTCTAGTTATTACTCGCCAAATTTTTACATCATCAGCGTATAATAACATTGGAGACCGTACTATACTTGTAAGATCACTAACGTACATTATAAAATGTAAAGGACCTAGGACCTTGGGGTACTCCACTAAGTATTAGTCTCCAGATGAGGCACTTGGAATTTATTCTTACTTTCTGTCTACGACCTACTAGGAAATTCATAATCCATTTTAAAAGAGTTTCGGCAATACCAAGGTTTGCCAACTTCAATAGCAGTCTATTAATTGGCAAGTTGTCGAAAGCCTTACTGAAGTCTATGTAGACAACATCCATTGAGTTTCCGTTGTCTAGCACCTTTATCCAAAACTCCCTTGCTATGAGGAGGCTCGTTGTACAAGATAGACCCTTTCTAAAACCATTTTGTGCCATGTTCAGCAAGTTACTGGTTTCCATAAACGCTGTTATGGTCCGTTTGATTATCCCTTCCAGTATTTTAATTAAAACACTGGTGAGGCTTACGGGTCTGTAATTTGATGGAACTTATCGCGGACCTGTTTTATGTATGGGAGTGACGATTGCGTCCTTCCAGTCCATAGGTAACACACCTTGGTCAAGTGACGTATTGAATATCACAGTCAGTGGGGCCGCGATATATTGGGCAGTATGTCTCAAGATTTTGGGGTATAGTTCATCTGGTCCTACTGAATTCTCCATGTTTAGGGTGCTAAGAGCCTTAAGCACATCGTTTTGGTCGAAGTCCACGGGGAGCAGCTGGTTTGTTGACTCTGTATTTGGGTCTGGTTCTTTCTCTAGAGGAGGTTCCTGAGTGAAAACTGCCCCAAAGTAGTCAGCCATAGCCTCTGCTTTTTCCTGATCTTCCTCTATCATTTCAGACTCACTTCCTACTTTAATTAGGTTGGGAATCCAATGATGCATCCTTGTTCTGTAGTTTATGTACGAGAATATTCTCTTGGGCTGCTTGAGTGCAGATTGTGCCAGCTGCATTTCATATTTTCTTTGGGCTTCCCGAATTTTTGTTATACACACGTTTCTTATCGATCTGTAACGTTCCATCGTACCTGCTGTGCCAAGGCGGATGGCAACATCCCAGCATTTCTTCTTTTGTCTTAGTAAGCGTCGAATATCCCGCCCTATCCAGGGATGTCCGTGCTTCTTTTTCTTTGGGACAGTCCAGGGTATGTATGGTTGAGTTACCCGATTGTATAACTGCCCGAATAGAGTCCATGCTTCTTGTACTGATGCCTTTGAGTCAATTTCCCAGTTCTCAGCCGATGCTGCGGAGTTAATTGCCTGCATATCTGCCTTCCATATGTTGGGACGGGCCGGCGCAACTGTTTGCCAGGCAATCTCAGCCATGAATTTGAATAAGATGACTGCATGGTCACTTCTCCCAAGTGGTGGGAGAAAAGCCATTTGATCAACATCATCACCATGTGTGAAAACTAAATCTAAACGAGAGGAAGAGTTTCTTAAGTCGTATCTTGTGGGATCTCTAATGTGTTGGAATAATGCTAGTCCAATCGAGGTTTCTAACAGTTTGCAGTCGAACGACGATATCGATGACCCTACTTCCAAGTTAACCCAGTTTATATATGGTGCAATAAAGTCGCCTACTACAAGGCTTTTACCGTTGTTTCACCAGAACGTAAGTTTATTTAGGAGAAAACTATCTGCTAAACATTCTGAACTGCGATATACTACAACTACTTCAATATCTTGCCGTCGACATTTCAACTTACATCTCACCAGTTCACATATCCTTGAAACCTGTGCCACTGTCACAGCTACTTTTATGGCTAGGGTACTTTTCGTGTACAAGATAACATCACCCCCCTACAGTTTAATCAATCAGCCCTACTGGTTGAAAAACAGTCAACTGAATTTCATTACCTAATACTTCTGACGTCAACCAAGTTTCCGAGATAGCAATAACATCCGGTTTTTCTTTATCCACCATTGACTTGAGCTCCCCCATTTTAATTAGTAGGCGAGCATTTGTGTAGCATACCTTCCCTTGCCACCCAGAATGACTTGGGGATCGTTTTGCTCCGAACTTTTACAATTTGAAAACCCTTAAGAACGAGGTTTCTTTCACCGTTTTGGCGACACTCATTTATTTCTGCTTCTGCAGCTCGTTTCTTAATACGATCTGTTAGGCTGAGATCCTCACGGACATATGTTCCGGATCCCATCAGTTTACGTGAATTACTTAGAATCAGGTTCCTTTCTTCCACCGAGTTGAATGTAACCTTTAGGAGGCGGCTTTTCTGAGGACTTTCGGAATCCACCTTTTTTCCTATTCTATAAAGCTTACAAATACTAACTCCTGAAACTGTATCTGGGAGTAGTTTACTTAATATGATTGAGATCATGTTCAAATCTTGCCTTTGGTTCAGTGTCTGAAGATTCTCTTATCTTATGAAAAACGACTGATCTCTCAGAGAGATGTCTTTTCACGCGGTGAGGATTTTTCTTCTGATAACATCCCTTCCAATGCCTTGCTGACCAGCTGCGTTTTGCCCACAGACTTTTTCTTCCCATATCTTTTTCTCCTTACTGAAGTCTATTTATCACCACTCAGGACAGCCACACCTGGACTGTGTGGAACGGTGACAGTTTTCTCCGGATCTTCTATTTCGACTAGAGGTGCATTATTACCGATGTCAATATCAAGCGGCACTTCATTCCTCGTTAATTTCAACGGAGATTTCACGTTCCCGTCAACCGCAGTCAGGTGTTTAACGGGTCTGGTAGCAGCACTTACTACACCGACACATTCTTCACCGTCAGTGCTCTTGTTATCAGTGCTTCCGCCATCGTTTTTCTTGCAGGCCAAAGCCAATAGGCCCATAGCCTCCTGAATTAGTACCTTTTTATACATACAAAGCCAATGCGAGTTAGTCTTCGATCATCTTTTGTAAGCCGTCGGACTTAGGCGTGTACACATTTTGGGGTACCACTATTTACTATCGTCACACTTCATTCCCTCCTCAACGGGGAACAAACAATTTGGTTGCTCACATTTATGAGTCGTACCAACCATTGAACATAAGTGTTAGTCAAGGAGTAAAAAAAGGTACTCAGGAGAAAATTTAGCAAAAAATTTCAAACCTTAACCAAAGTACTTTTAGTTAAAGTAGACCAAGAATGCTTTTCAGTGCAATAAGTACCCAAAGCAAGTATAATCACAGCAAGTACAAAATCACTATACTATCCAAGTTCCTGATGTATCTAAGTCTGTTCGAATTCTGCTCAGCATATGAATTCAACAGCGTAATCTTAATGATATATTTGCAAACATAGATTTTTTTGTTTAGAAATACATTTTCTGTTGTTCAGTTAATTCAATTATGTAGGTCATGTTGAGGAAAAATTTACAGTTTTTCGCGGGGGATATAAGTCTACGTAAGCGTGTTTGTTATTCGGAGTGTCTAATTTGACTTTAATCATTGTGGTCTAAGTAACAATATTTGTTCTCCACGAACACAGTCTATCCTTAACTACGTGAATGTCTGGATAACTGAGTTATAAGAAAGCTATTTATCTATTTGTAACAGCCCAAAGAAAACCTAATATTGACCCACCAATCAAGTAAGAAAAATCTTTTCAGGAACGGATCATTAGTTTAACCTGATTTTCATTGTACTTACAAAATATTTTGCCCATCATCGAAGCCTTCCCAGACTTGAAGTCGTTATTGTTAAGATTCATTTATTTGTATGTAGTTATATTCGTTATCCATGAAAATAGGACTTACACGTTTATAATGAATATATTCAGGATATAAACTTTTTGTTGAGAAAAACTTACTCTTTAGGCAGTCACCTGTTCACTATTTGTCTCCAGGTCTCCCATCTGTCAATTTTATTTGTCCTATTATGGAATGAACTTGTTATAATTTGTAAGTTTTGGTTCTGAGTTCATTTTTAAGGATGTCTCATTTGTAATTTGTAAAAAAGCTTCATGTCCCGAGAAACTTCAGCTGTGACTGAACTATCTGTCAAGTGACGGGTTCGTATACTGCTATATATTTTATACTGCACGATGACAAAAGCTACTAAGTGAATTTTGTTTTGGCAAAAAACATGAGCTGCTAAATTAGCATACAAATATTATGATGAAAACCATCACTCTGTATTGAACTGATCTACATCTATTTCCATTTCAGTTTGGGTAGTTTTCTGTCCTTAAACGGCGAGACTATAATTTATGGACGAACCCATCAGGTGTAAGATAACAGGTCTCGAATTTTGGCGCGAAATTCACCCATCCATTTGTCTAAATAGAGTTTTAGCATTATAGCTGATGTCAGTTAGTGATGAAAACCCTAGATGTAATTCCTAACCCTAACCATCAACTGTAAATCACACAGGTTTATAACATTCATTTGGTCCTAGCTGTTAGGTGAAAACTTTCAAGGTCACCCAAAGGTTGTCCGTAAATTATGGTCTCACCCTTTAAACACTACTAAAACTCTAGGTGTTATTGGTTGAATATAACCAACTATTAAACAGTGTGAATGACTGCCAGCACTCATTTAAACCTACTGCTATTAAATCTATAATAACCTTGTCGTCTGACAAAGCCGTTGCTTGTAGACCGTGGGTATGATTCTGTAACTTTAATCCCAATTGTTATGTATGGTACGGTTACCTTTCCTGCGGTGCTTCATATAAATACCTGCACTTCAGTGTAGTTACGGGTTTTTGTCAGCCTTTATTTTTACAGTATATACAGCTTTGAGGAAATGTATTTTATGATCTGTGTTGAAAAACCGAAAAAAGATCTTCGAATGTTTCTTCATATGGAACATACTTTCCCCAGCATAAATCAACACAAACGTCAGTGAAACCTTGCAAAACGTACTTATGTTAGCAAAGTTTTTCTTTATTTTCTGTACTATATTTTTTATAAAACATGTGTATATCTATATACAGATCGAACACATATGAACAAGATGACTTATTCCATTCATGTGTTTTGGTTTTCATTATGTTAAATCTGTTTTATGTAAAAATATGGAGCGACCTAATCACATGACTACTCTGTGATATTTTCGGCATTTTCATAAAAATATATCGACTTACAGTATCCAAAATCTTAATAATTAATGCCTGTTCCTAGACTTAAAAATAATCCATTGAAGTAAAAAAATTTATTATAATGATAGTATTATCACTTCAGTCATTTTTATTATTAATATCATGGTACATTTATCTGAGGCATAACTTAAACATTATAATTACTACTGTTATTCCGTATGAATTTCGCTGTAGTTTTTCCTTTTCAAGCACGCACCTCTTACAGCTGTTCCCAGTCACGTAGGCATGATATTACGGTTTAATCTTTATTGGGTATATTTAAATCTGCACGAATTACTGTAATGTTTCTACACATTTTTATTCGGTTGTTAAGAGGTAGATACAATGTATTTATTTTGTGATTATTGTGTCAACCTAGAAAAGCTCTATCGGCCAAAAACCCAGTGGTTATTAATCGATCATATTTAATATTAACTTGGGATAAAGATAAAATGATCATTTCATATATAATGTTTCGCATGAAATTTCAGTCAAGTTCTCATTCATGTGTCAGTGGACAACAACCATCTCTTGGTTTTAGAAGTCTTAATCACAACAGTCTTTTACTCTGATAATTTCATCTTTTTGTGCTAATAAGTTGTGGAAATTCGAACCTATCTATTTGTGTGTTAGGTTCTACGTTACGTATGATTGATTGACTGATTACAATGCACTCGAGAATTGGACTGTCATAAGAAGTTACTGTTAAATATAGATAACAGTTGTCTTGATATTGTGAAACTAATTTGAATCGTGTCACAAATTTTCAAATCTCTAGTTGCACATAAGTTCACCACTGAATTTAAGGGATCATCAACTGTTGTATGTGAAACGTGATACTTCTTAGTGTCAGGTAGTACTTAGCTTTTGGTTTTAGTTAAATAAAAACGACCAGACGCGGAAAACTGTGTAAACATGTTTTATGGTGTTTGTTCAGTCATGTTATCAGTAACTCATTACAAAGTGTAGATTCATGCAATTGGCTTCTAGAGACTTTAACTTTAGGGGTCTGTGATACTTCCTAGTCGTTTTAATCAAAGTAGATGGAGGGGGGGTAAATAAAAGACTTAGTGACTGAAAGTCAAATGTCTTAACTACTGAGCCCCTGCTCAATTTTAGCATACAGTTAATAAATAACAGCATGTCGTTTTGGTCCTAGCTTGTTAATAATGTGGATGTGCGAGTATTGATTTAGTTAATCCGTGTACTTCTATCTCTTTGGATGTTGGTATTATAAATTTCCTCTGACTATATGGCCATTCTGAATTCCTAAAGTTCGTCTTTTACATTAAGTCGTCATAACAATAGAACGTGAAATTTAGTCTTCTAAAAAACAGTAATGCTTTTCCAGTACTTTTTCCCTATCTCATCATTTCAATAACAAGTCTGCTCCCAGTTACATTGTGCATTGAATACAAAATCCGTTCTATTTTGAATTAATAACAATTTGAACTGCAAAATTAGTGTGCATTGTCCTACTTTTGTCTTAAAGATTTCTATCTTCTTTACAATAATAAGTATCCTTAATTTCAAGCAAATATGAATAGCAAGTTTTTTGTAAACGTTTTAAGAATTTATACATTGAATGAATGGAATGTGACTGGCAGTAGAATCCAAGACGGGTGTTTCGTTTTATTCAAAACTTGTCATCTGGATCTACTTGCATCCTAACCAATAGTGGTCAAATTTCATTCAAAACATCAACTACAGGATAATCCAAGCTACTACAAATCAAATGAATGGGATTTTAGTTATTAAATTTTGAAAAAAAAATCAAAATTATTCATCTTTTAATACGAACTATTAATTTAAATATGTAAATCTTAATAATCGGGTGTCCGATTCGAAATCAGATTCTTGTTGTGTCAGTGTAACAATTTACTTCTCTCGTTAGTTTCTATTCAGTCAACAAGGATAAAATTTTATTTTAGGTATCTTTTAGGTAGATATTTATATTTTTGCAATCGTTTCTGTGTGCTTTATTTAAAGATAACTTTGTAAGATTGAAAGGTCAGTTACCTCAGCTTAGTCAACTACAAATGTAACTTAATCATTTGTCCAGTCAATTAGTGAATGTAATTAGAATTTATTGGTAACTGATTATTTCATAAGCTGTCAAAAAGTGGTAGCTTTTGACAGTATTGACACTGTTATTATATTAACTGACTTTACTGTATATATTTGAAGCGAGTTGTCAGAGTTTATGATGCTAACTACTTTTCTCTCTTGTAGTCAATTTTAATAATCTTCTTTTTACAGTTTAACTTGAACGTTTTTTTGTTTTCATAGCGGACAGCTAATTTGATTTACCGTTGTTTAGTATCAGAATTTCTAACTATTTTCTAGTTATGTGAAGAGTCTATCGATTTTATAACCGAAGTCAAATAATACAAAGATCATCATAAAGTTTAAACCCTGGCACTCTTGCTGATTGTATTACAAAAGACATTTTATAGTTGTAGTGTTAAAGTGACTCAATATTGACTATCAGTGTGATAATTTAAGCAAAAGGCTCTATAGTCAGATTTTGTAATGATCAATTACAAAAGATAATAAGATAAATAGTAACTGTAGGAAATCATTGAGTTCAACAACAACAACTATGAAATCCATAAACAATTCAGTTCACATGTTTTTTCTTTGTTCATTTCTCGAAAGTTCAACTGTTATATTTATAGATTTCTTTCTTTTTTAGATGAACTGAACTTGTAATTACTATTATAGTTTGTGTTATTGAAGAATGTGTGATGAGGTAAATACATTGTCAATTAGATAAAATCTATTAAACATATATTTGGAATTTTTATTATGAATAAGAATTTCAGATGAGTTTTGGTAATTTAAGATTATTTTACATAATATATTATCTTCATATTAGTTAATAAATTCAGTCAGATGTTAAAATGAAATCTAGACACATCCATCAACTCTGAGATGCAGATATATCCAGTTGATGAGTCCCGAATAGGACGAGACGCGCATCCTGCTAACCACCATCCATCTTTGCTTATCATGCTAGTGGTATGAGGTAATATAGAGGCAATCCGTACAGGATGCACATATGCCAATAAGAGAGAGAGACTGATCAAATGCAGTCCTAAACATCAGTGGGAAGATTCAAACAAATCATAGAAAATGAATTTAACTATACAAGTGTTTACATTTTAATGGTCATTGATACGATATTATCTAAAATCAAAACGAAAGCTCAGCTTCTAAAAAGTTTCACAATTCAATGGGACGAAACTTGACTTTTGTTCTAGATTCCAATCGTTAAAGTATCATATGTATTTGTTATCTTATTTAAGTGTCACACATTCATTGTCGATCGTAATATCTACTCCTATAAACCTATCTATTTGTAAATGTGAATCAATTAGGCATTGGAAAAGAATCCTTGACCTAAAGAACCGAAACATTTTTATTTTACTCACATACCATTTCGAATGATTATTAAGTTTAAGTATTAAAGAAATCAGCCATGCGAATAATGATTGATATGTACACTCCTTTTTAATGTTGGCTATTGTAACATAAAGTCTTTCACAATGCCTAAAGTGTACTCAATTTTGGATGGATGAAAAAATCTAATATCCTACTACTGATCTTACTATTTATCTGTCGTAAAGCAAAAATTAAATGACTCTTAGAGTGATAGCAGTTACAAAGCTTTACTGTCTTAACTTCATAGTTAGTTAACATTCCACTAAGTATTTACACCCTACGACTAAGCAGTCTGCGCGTCCTTCTCTTCCTTCTATTTCTAGAGATATTCTTCACCCTAATGATTTTATGACAGAAAATGTCATATGATTTTAGTTTGCAGTTACCATAGTAGTTTCTTGTTTGTTTTTTTCGCTATATAACTTGATTATTAATTGAGTGTAGTGTAGTGTTTAAACTAACATTTACCAATTTCAAGAAAAAAAAATTCAATTCCGATAATTATATGTTAGATTGTCAAAAAAGTTGACCCTATCACTTTTAGTTTACACGACAGTGTTTCTGTTCATTACGTATAAGTAATTTCCTTAATTTATCTTATCACTCTGAAGCCAGTATTAAAAACGTAAATACTTACGCACTTATGTACAGTTAATCAACCATGTTCTAATTTCCCATGTTCACTTTTATCATAAAATATCATTTTGGGATTTGTCGGTTTAGGGTTGTGGAAATGATTAGGTTATGGATTGATATCATGAACCTATTGATGTTAGACCACCATTGAAAACCTAGAAGCACTAGACGGTCGTTTCGTCCCGTTTTGGGACTCCTCAACAGTGCGCATGCACGATCCCTCTCGCGGGATTCGAAGCCAGGGCTTTCAGTCTCTTACGCGAACGCCTAACCTCTAGAACACTGATTCGGGATGCAACGGTGTTAATGTCTAACCTCAACCAATCCACGAGATTGCGCGATCATCCTCCACTGTACTGAAGTAGATACCTGTCTCTACCCGATGCGGATTAGCTCCGCTTTGGGATTTAACTATTTATTTTATATTTAAATTTGAATACATTTATGTTAATACTTTTGAGTTCATCAGATATTATCATAAGCCAACTCTTGTTTTAGATTAAAAATGTACTCAAACCTAAGTGTAATTTCTTTAATCTTCAGTAATATGCCAGTCATTTGATTTGATTGTGAACAATTACATTTTTGGTTACGTACGTACTCAGTATTTGCGTGCATATACTTGATTTTTGTGCTCTAATTGTATACGTGACCTTATATATAATATATGTATACTGATCAATAGTGCATACATATAAATTGTACTTTGTTTCATTTTATAATCATTTGCTTTATTATCATTGTATTGTACACCGTTCGACTTCAAAAAATGAACGAATGTACTAGTGTTGAGAAAAAATATACTTCACTTAAACAACATGAAATCCTAAAATGTTTAATCTCATAGGTCACTTACATGTATCATTTAATTTCTTGTCATACTCAGTCTGAAATTAGAACATTGAGCATAGACGTAGAAAGTATTGGAAATAATTTACAAAAGTATGCGACAACCGATAAATATCCTTTACCACTCAAATAGGTGAATGATTGCCGATCTGTCGAGCGATTCTGATTTCCTCACGACTTAGATTTTCATAGAAAAACGTCAGAATTCGATCATATTTCATCATTTTATCACTATTTATGTCATTCCACCATACTTTACACTGATCAGGAACATACGTTGATACATAATCATCCAAGTCAGTTGATGTCGTCTATTACTGCTATTGATTTGTTTTCCCGAATTAAACTGCCAATCTTATGTCAATATTCTTGTTTTTATCAATGACTGTGTGTTGGAGCGCGGTAGTGAAGCTTGCCGATCTATCCTTTCTCCTTGATGTGTATGAGAATATCTTGGTTAAATCATTAATTGCATATGGTGAATGTTGGTAATGATGGTACCATAGACACTAGAAAAAACAAAATTAAGAAAAACAACTAACTAGTCATTCAGTGCTGTATGTTCCAACCATGTACTAAGTAATACCCTAAACTTCAGATCTTATAAACAGTTAAAACTATTTTATTCTGAGATCATTAACCTTCTCTGTTGTCACTTCATGTTGAGCAACTTCTTGTTCCTTTTTTAAACATGTTCCGTAAATACCATCTATTTCTGTTCTGGATGAGTTACTTTTCAATTCTCTTTTTCTAAATGATCCTTTTTCTGCCTTTTGTGTCTTCACAATTATGTTATGATTTCATTTCATACACTGATGAATTTCTTAATGGCTTATTTTATTAAATTTTTCTTTATATGCTAGGAGTAAATTTAGAACAAATAAATATCCATGTACATTGACACTATCATTGTTAAATGATTGGTAGTTGGTATGCGTGTTGGCACTACGATGACATTCTTGTGTAATGATTATTGTCTACTAAAAAAGTGTATTTGTGCACAAATAATGTATAGACTTAAGGTCATAATGAAATCAATAACTCAATAATATTTGTGATCACAATTAATGAATAGTTTTACGTACTGTCTTAGTACCATGGACCTGTAACAAGACGTGAAATGTCGTATTGCAGTGAACGAGCACTTGGTGGGAAGAACCCATTTATTGTTTAGTGTAAGATTACAGAGTGTCTTTATAAAATATGGAAAGTCATACGTTAAATACATCATTTGCACATCTTCCATCAGTTGTTACTTATAAACCTCATCGTTCCTTCATCTCTGTTGTTATTTCAGTCACTCTGTTTACATTCCCGTTCTTTCCATTTCAATCTTGTGCTCGCAAGCGTTCCACTTCCGATTGGTGCTACATAGTACTTATACCTGTCAACGTAAGTAGCATACACCACAGTATCTTACTGTCCAAGCCAAATTTACTCCAAATATATTCCACGATGCACATCCTGGTAAATCTCACTGACGTTTTCCCAACAGGATGGGATACGCCTCCTGGGTTCCTCTACTTCCCATAATTCATCTTTTGATAAACACTTTCGACGAAGTGGCTGAATTTTGATATTTCTCACGTGATGCAAATATGTCAGCATAGACTGATCACATTTAGTTCTGAATATCAACAGCGGAATGATTCAAATCTTTATTAGTGATGATGTATGATTAGAAAGCTCATATGTGAACACTGCAGTTTTAATTACACACATAGTTTATATTCTTAAATACAATCTTCATTACTAGCTAACATCAAATAAAAGGCTATCAAAAGTCATCAGGATCTTTATTAGACAAGCTATTGTGACTAACATAGAAATCACAAAGAAGACGAATAAGTGTGTTCACATTTAGATTGAAACTTTAATCTGTACAGATATCTAATTTTTATCTCATCCGTATGCGTAATCTGAGTGATTATACCAATTTATGGTTAGAGACTCTAAATGATGTGGCTGATAATAAGTTGCAGTAAACATTGTATATTTCATAAGTTTTTTTTGTTTTTGTATTTTCACTACTTCATTACCTCATCATCATTGTTTTTTTTTCACATACTGACTTTATTTTCGCTGTGTTAGTATGAGTGAGTAGTGACAGACTTAAACGATGCTCATTCACTCAGTTCTCTGACAGGCTGAACGAGTGCAGATATATCATGTGCATGTGTTCACAGGCCACATTAAGATCAAACATGCGGTGAGAAATTAATAATGAGGCATGGTATTGGATGAAGTTGATCGGGGACCTAGTCAAGGTTTCAGTTTACATGTCGTTCTGTATATCGGAAAGATAATCGTATATATATATATATATATACCTATGATTCACATACATTATAATTCGATTTGGCTATTAAGCGTTTTTACTCATTTAACAATTCTCTCAATTTCATAGTTGAGTTTCGTATACCTTATGAAGTGTATTTCTAAATTGAATTAGACTGCAGAACATAACAGTCTCACGTTGTTTATGCATGTTTATCTGTTGTTACATTTCAAAGTATGCTTCATTTTTGTATGTTTAAAGTATTTCATTCTTTCGTTTTAATGTTGTTTAGGTTGATTCAAGTAGGATGAATACAGTCAGAGTGATTACAGTTAGATCAACTTCAACTTCATCTCAACAAGATACTCGTAAGTCTATCTCTATATGCGTAATAATAATCATACAAATTAAAAAAAGAACTTATTTGAATCTGTACAAATGGATAAAGTTTAAAGTTAGTTAACCGTAATAATAATTATTATTATCGTGATATCAATATTGTGGCAATAAAAGCTGGTCAACTGGTCCAATGTCCTACTTTACCAGCTTATTGATGTTCAATGGTTGTACAAGTTAAGTTAGTCCTTGATGTAAAGTGCATAATTTAGAAGTGGAAAAAAAACAGTATCTAATAGTTCGACATCATTATTGTTGCAGACGTCGTAAAATACATAAGATATTTACTTATTTGCTTCAAGTACTGAATTTATTCTGACATGTCTTTTAAACAGTGTTTCTAGTTACCGTCGTTGTCAGCAGATCTCAGACAATAATATTGTCTTACACTTAAGAATACCTTATTTTTACAAATGTAATTCATGCTGTGTTTCTAGTGAGTTTTATGATTATGTCTTATCTAAATTGTTTGTCCTAACTTACTCTACGTTACGTAGAACCTGGCACAGATTTGCATGGCCTATTGGTACGATTAAATGAACATAACAAGATTATCAAGAGAGGTCGAAATGATGTAGTAGTAATGATAGTGATGAAGACGGAACATGAATGAATATTGGAGTTTAATATAAAGAGGATGATAAAGAATGAAGGCTTCTGTGTCATTGTGAATGATTCTAAGTTGTCACCTAAAGTTTCCAACGCCTGATCACGGTTATCACACGCACCCTAACCAGGTAATCTGCTTGTAAATAACGTAGCTTAGACAACTAGTCAGTAACTTCATGGATTAATATCATGTCTTGGTTCTGCTGCTCTTAACTTTCTTCCAACTTGCTTCTACACCAGCAAACATACCCGGTAGAGGTAAACGGTAATTGGGCATGCGTTACACATATCCTAAATGTCTCAGTCGATGCAGATTCTTGGCCTCATGAATCGGTTAGAAACTCGAGGTGTGCTTCTAAGACATACATAATTAAAAAGCTACATCCCACACTTGCACTTCTTTTAATACTCACTATCCCAAGTCAATAAAATATTTGTCAACACCCCTATTGTAATAATCCAAATTTAAGAGATAATTCTCCTGGTGTTAGTTGGTATATTTTTTTCTCTCTAAAAACTATCATCTTTTTGATAGTTGAAATTATGAGTCAATTGAAGCTAGACCACCATGGAAAACCTGGAAGCATTGGACGATCGTTTCGTCCTGGGACTCCTCAGCAGTGAGCATCCATGATCCCACCCCCCTCGAGATTCGAACCCAGGACCTATCGGTCTCGCGCGCGAGCGCTTAACCATTAGACTATTCATGTTTTCAACAATTGAAATTTCTAAAATCTCCACAAAACCCCTTCTGATATCATCTTTTTACTTTATTATTTCTTTCTAAAAAATCTCACATTTTATATTTCTGTTTTGTTTGTTGCAAATATTCATGTTTATTATCTTGTACATTGGTACACATGAATAAATATATGCTGTCTACTTGTTCACCGATCATAACATTCATTTATTGTATTCCTATCAACTGGTTCTTTTCAATTCAATTTGTTGTTCAGCCTCAGTAAGTGTATATTCACAATATATATAATAATAATTATTATTATTTTGTAATTAAATGAATAAGTTATACTTCTTCTTTGTATGTCCTATTAATATTTGCAAAAACAAAGCTAACTACAGATGGTTTTCAAATTTGATAGAATGTTTTTTGTCATTGATCTACTATGTACAAAATAGGACAGAGGTCAAACTTGTGACCCTCTGTGTTAGTTGGATGTGAATTAACCTAATGTGTAAATCATATTTTAGTAGAAGTTTGTTAAGACTATACAAGTTTGTCTATCAGGAGTGTTTGGTAAATATATTATGTAAACATTAATAATAATACTCTGGTACACGTAAATTCAAATGTTTGAAATGGTTTTGTAACGTGATAAATTAATATCTATAAAGCAAGTTGTTTGCTTGAGTTACTAGTATTTCTCTTCATATTAATCATGAGGTTTACTGATTCCCTTCAATTCATATCGTGATTTTAATTCAGGCGATAATATAATATGTAGGTTATGTTCGTCACAAATTGATCTCAGTTGGGATAACATTAAAAGCTAAGTAGCAGTAGGATTTATTGTCCAAGTCCAAAACTCTTCAGTTTACACGCGTGACCCCATTAGAAGTCGAACTCAAAACCTTCAAACTGCTCGGTGAATGCTTAGGCATTAGAACCACTGGATCGGCTTTCAGTAGTACATTTCTAACTTTAATTAGTTCACGATACATTGAGACGATCATACAGTGGTATCGGTGACAACTGTTTCATTCCCGATATTTTTGACTTCCTCCAGCCACGACTTTTCAGTAAAGTTAAAAGAAAACCTTGGAGTACGTTCATGGTGAGTTGACTATTTAAGTATGGTTGAAGGGATTTTGTGGAAGTTAGTTTAATTTGTTGATTATTCTGTTATCCTCGATTTTCTCAATATTTGTTAGGGTACTTAATTCAAACCCCAAAGTACTTCTGTGATGAATAAGATCGATCATATTGGTTTTGACCAGTATGTTATTATTTCACTGCAAAAAAGTAGTATATGTTTGTTTGAAGTAGATCTCTACAGATGACTTTTGTTTTATCCATTTCGTTATCATTACTCATGAAAACATGTTGTAAACTGAGATTAAAATTACTTTATACCTTTCCTTCTACAAACGAATTCTTATTGTATTATATCCTTATACGAAATATTTCTTTTATATATTACTACCATTGGAGTAAATACTTCTATGAGTTTTGGTGTTCATCTTGTTGTGCTAATGAGTTGTGTCTGTGACTATGAAGTTGGGCAACATGGGATCGAATCCGTCAGGGAGCATCAGTTCCCTCAAGATTACAGGTACACCTTGCTGACGAGTGCCAAATAGTACGCAACCTAGGTTCAGGGTTTCCTGTTGACTACCTCCAACCACCATCTCATAGTGAGGTGTGGCAACTTGAACTGATGCATATATGTGCCTCGTCCTACGTTGTAGCTGACTGACTGTAACTGATCAACAACCTTTCCTTGAAATCTGTAAAGTTCGGGGAGTGATTTCATAATAATAATCTTTTATTTTGACAGCTAGCTGATTCAACGTATTAATTAACTGTTGATCTAACATCACATTAAAAGTACTTCATGTGAATGACTGCATATCCAGATTGAAAATTAAATGTTGTATTGTATTTTCACCATACTACAACATCAACTTATTACCATTTACACCTAGTTAAGGGACCGACTGATATCGAATAATAATAATAATAATAATAATAATAATAATAATAATAATAATAATAATAATAATAATAATAATAATAATAATAATAATAATAATAAACGTTTTATTCCTTTAATGCACACAAACCCGCTGCTGGTCAAATCGAATACACACTTATTTGTCCAAAATCGATTCAGTTAATACAAGTAACTAAGTCAACAGTTGTGTGTTGGATTGGACTAATAATTGATGAAGATAGGAACATTTAATTATTGATTTAATAGTGAATTTTCAATGAATAAATTAATCAAATTTGTTTAAATCATTTCAATAAAGTTTTATTGCACAATGATATATTACTTGCAAGTGTGTGTGCGTGTGTGTTTACAGACACACGAATACAAACACATAAACAGATATACAAACGAACAAAACTATTATGTAAGAATACACAAAATAAATCAGATGTAATTCACCTTATGATTTTGTGTATATTCATGTGATTGTAATGCAACGCCATGATGTTGTAACTATAGTACTTACGGATAACTTGGTGGTAAATTGTAATATAATTAGCTTTGATGGTTGACATCAACTATACCTGTGATATATTTATCGGTATATTATTGTAGATTTTAAAAAAAGAATTAGTTGTACGAAAAAAATATTCATGAGGATATAGATGGGTTCATTCTATCTTACTGTACGGTTATATATTACCATCTCTGAGTTAACTACTTCCATGAATCCGGTGTTCATCTTGTTGTGTTAATGAGGTATGGCAACTTGGACCGTGCGTATATGTTCCTGGCCCTACGTTGTAGCTGACTGACTGACTGCTGTGCGGTTGTAAAACGAGGATATTTGTACGTTACTAGTATTTGACCATGTATGCCATCGAAGCATTTTTAGTATATGTTAAAATTATCGATTACCACAAAGTACTGCATAATAATAATAAATTGGTTGATGAGATGAGATGGTTGGAACGTATACTAGGTACGCTCCACCACTCTCTACCTCAACTCATGATGTCAGCTAGTGTAGATTTAGTTTAGAAGAAAGGTAGGGTGTTGGCTAAATTGAAATGTTTCATCAATCACAATTGATTGATCACTGGGTGGTGATCAATGTCATGCGTGTCTAGTCCTTATCAGCGCAGATCGAATGCTATCGATCATGTTGCAGTGTGGCCACCAGTCTAGGTGACTCGACACTGTGGGCACTATATATTGAGATTTAGATGGTGGTTGGAAGTAGTCACCAGGAAACCTTGGACCCGGGTTTCGTGCTACCTGGCACTCGTCAGCAAGGTGTACCTGTACTGTTGAGGGAAGCTGGGTGACACGAGATCGAATCCGCCAGGGAGCACCAGTTCCCTCAAGATTACAGGTACACCTTGCTGACGAGTGCCAAGTAGCACGAAACCCGGGTCCAGGGTTTCCTGTTGACTACCTCCAACCACCATCTAAATGTATCATCAATCCATGAAATCATTGACTGTTAGACTGCTTCGTTTTTATAGGCTCAAATCTCCTTGTTGATGTTCGTGCAATTATAGTCTATCTCTAACCTTTTCTATTACCACCGATACTGTTACTACTACTAATTTCGTATTTGCCTTGATGATTTCATTTCTCTGTGTTGATATATTGTGATAGCTTCAACCTATGCACATATGTGTAGGTTCTACGCTGCACATGTATATATCAAATTACCATTATTGGCAATTCAAACTGTTGCAAAAACGATCTTTCTGATTTTTTTAAATTTTTTGTTTTCCACTAACCTTTTAGAGTCCGTCAAGAGTCAGTGACACTGGTAATCGTAGTGCCCTCAATCAGGATTCTGATATGTGAGTAAAGATTTTTATTTGCATTTAAATAAATACAGCTAACTCACCAATGATATTGGTTTGTTGTTGCGCAATATTGTAGATCGATTGAAGTTAGAAATGTTGACTTAGTAGTTTGGATATTAAGCGTTCATGGTAGGACCTGAAGGTCGTAGTTCTGATTCTCGGTGAGGTGAATAGATACTGCTGAGGAAGTTTAATACTATAACGAAATAGCTGTTTAATGATTTTACTTTTTTGCAGTGTTTGTTTAAGTGAGATCAATCTGTAATGTACATTTTAAACGAATGTTGTTAACGTTAATTAAGTGGTTCTGATCTTAGATGCTTTTGTGACTTGGAGGTTAAACCTTTACCTTATACGGCAATCCCAATCTATTTATATATTGGCTAGAGCGTTTGCTTTTAGATATCTTTTTGTCCCGTAAAAGTTCTATGACTGCGAAGTTGTATAATTGTTGATTGTTCCACATTGCGTTTATTGTTTATAGAGAAAAACTGATACATGTTAAACTTTTATCAAGTCGAATTCTCCATTCAGATTGTCTAATTTATATTTTAATAGTTGAAATCATGAGTCAGTTAAATCTAGACCACCATGGAGAACCTGGAAGCACTGGACCGCTCGCGCGCGAGACTGACAGGCCCTGGGTTCGAATCTCGAGGAGCGGGCTCGTGGATTCGCACTGCTGAGGAGCCCCATACTAGGACGAAACGGCCGTCCAATGCTTCCAGGTATTCCATGGTGTTCTAGCTTCAATTGACTCATGATTTCAACTATTGAAATTACTAAAATTTCCACAAAACCCCTTCAGATAATTTACATTTGTAAAAATGTCCGAAAATGTCAATAATATTACTCACTGTTAATATCTGTTGTGCTGTATCACTTTTTTCTAATCTCTTTTAATGTCATTATGATCATGACCAATGGTTAAAGATGTTGATCTGATTTGACTGAGAATCAAGTACTATGATTCAGATCCATTCCCTCTTCAATTTTCCTTCAAATTTACGGTTTTTAAATTGTCTTACTTTTTTCTATTCTGTAGATCATTTCATTCTTCTCCAATCGTATTGTATGCGCTGAATATTTTCTACTACTAATGATACTGTTCTTACTTTCACTACTCTCATATTTGTTTTGTTGATTTGTAAAGGCTAATTTCTTCTATATCTGACTCCAATAAATAATATTCCGTTGACTGAGTATTTAATTCTCTCTGGATAGGTAATCTAACTAGATTAATTAATCAAGGATTTAATTTTTCCTATCTTAAACTATACACAAGTGGTACGTGTACTTGAATCTTACGCCACTCCTTCTCTTTCTTCATCTATCTTTGGATTAAGTGACCCCCTCCTATAAAAGGTAATATAATTATTATTCTACGTAAAGAAAATGATCAAATGCACATGACACTATAAACACAATAAATAATCCAATCATCAAAATAAATGGATAGATTAATGATGATGATGATGATGATGATGATGCTGAGATTCTGACATTTTTCCAAATATATAATATATTAGATATGCATGTATCCCCAGTCATGTGTTTAATGTTGATGTGTGTGTGTGTGTGTGGTATCAACAAAAGTATCATTGCTTAAATTTGTAGTCAAATGTTTACATTTGTTTATCATGTACTGTATTCCTGATAGTTCAATAACAACATATTATTTTTCATCATTATCAAAAGAACAGATTAATATTAACTTATGTACTGTTCACATTGGGTATTTTCTTGATAAACACAGAATTATGCATTAAATTTAACGAAATTTATACATAATTATTTACTTCAACAAGAAAATGTTTTATATGTGCGTGTATAAATGGTGTTTTTGTGTAGTGTTGATTCCGATGTCAGAGGAACAAACAGTTCTATTATATGAAGTGGTTTGAATTATTTTTTCTGGTTAGCGTGTTTTTAGCGAGTTAGTTTTCTACGGGATGGAGTCGCTAACCCTATGTCCAACCCTCCTCCTTTACCCGGGCTTGGGACCGCAGTAACGCTAGAAGAGCTACAGGCGGAGTTATTATGTGAAGTAGTGGACTTTAATGATTTATAGTGGAAGAATATTTGAAGGCTGATTGTTCAATTAATGAATAAAATGCGTCTAGCGATTGATTTAATCAACTATCAACATTGTGCACTTGAACGATATATATATACTTACCATTTATCCTTCAGATCCATCGACAAGACTTTGAAGCCATGATGGCCCCCAGAAAAATCATTTACATTGACAAAGAACACTTCTTTCATCAAAATTTATTTTGGAGATAAAGCCCCATCTTAAGTTCTGACAAAATCATTCATTTCTGTTGGGTGTTGTACACTCCAGTCGCCTACTAATTAGTGTGTACGTTAGGAATAAACTGTCGCTTTTCATCACACCATTGTGTATACAGAGTTTTACTCACCAACAGCTATATCTTTGAAAGACTCCAGCAATTTGCTGCTCCACTAGAATTACATTCCAAAATTATCCACACTCAGAAAATTAACTCACAAGAGTATAGGTGAAAAATAATCTGTGCATTACAGGGGCGACAGAAATTCATTAAGTCTAAACTCTGTATGCCAAAAAAGGTGTATACAATCTCATATTCTGTTATAATTCTAACCATTTTCTTATTTTTCATATCTTATAACCTGTTGATATTGTCCTCTTCTGATGATTTGTAGTTATTGATTTGTTGTCATGTATCCACTTCAATTTTGTCTACTTTGCATTCTTTGCATTTGCTCAGTGAATCAGATAATTACTACTTCTCAACTATAAAACCATATTCTTCACCATACTAATTGAGTTATCTTTTTAAGTAACCAGTAATGAACGTTTGGATACTTGAAATTTACGATTGCTTTACAACTCAATACAATTCTATTCTGCAAATGACTAGCATAAATGCTAAACATCTGTTGAAGATGTATTAAATGATAATGTAGTTCCAAAGACAGGTTTTTTTGTTTAGTTGAATTTGTTCCTTGTCAACCTCATGTGGTGGCGCTTTATCTGTCACCATCTCTCGATACCTCATCTGGTTAACAGATGTCATACAGTATATGTTACCTACATTCTATTGTATAAACAGATATGTCAGTTTCGCTATTCGAATTCTATCCATTTTACCTTGTAACTTTCAACTTTGTTTTTGTTAATTGGTTGTAGGTAGTCGCCAGGAACTTAAGGACTTGGGTTTCGTCCTAGTTGGCACTCCTCAGCAAGGGATACCTGTAATGAAGGCTCTGGTTCTCCTCAGTGGATTGGAAAGTAGATCACAGTCTGAGGTGCCACCACAAGTTAACTGACTTACTGTGGAATAGAAATACTGACAGCTGGTTGGTCATTAGTTAGTAACTAATGTCATATCTGTCAAGTCTTTTAGCATTAATTACATTCTATCACATTTACCAAGTACGAAACCCAACTTCAGGGTTGTCCATTAAGCCATGATTGAGAAGTCCTAGCAATTGAATGCTCTCCAGTTTTCATTAGTTAGTTAGGTTTATATCCTGTTGTCGAATTCATATACTTCATAAACCAACTAAACATGTTCATTTTCCAAAAATGATCGTGATTGAATTTTGGAAATGTTTTACTCTTACGTGCATTTTTGTTATGCACTTTTTATCTGTTAACTATTCCTATGTATTTTTGTGTCATGCATAATTTAGTTGTTAATTAAATTTTGTGAATTTGTCAACTTACAGAGATTCTAATGAAGATGAAATATCCTGTAAAGATAATGAAAAGATCAGAAAATTCTTGGATTCTACTGTTTCTGTTTTTGAACTAATCGATCAAACGAGTTATTTGCAACAATATCCAAGCTGGCTTGGATATTGTGGTCCAGAAAATAAAAAGAAATACACTCCAACCTATATTAATCGAAATGATAATATATGGGGTGAGTAGTCTTATATATCATGTAACAATATATTGTATACATTGTTAAACAAGATTTATGTAGTAATTAGTTTTGGAAGAAACACTCTTTAGAAAAATGGGTAAAAGTTTATAGCAGGGTCAATCTTAAGCGATTCTTAGTTGACAATGTGATGCTGCAGCCACTTCTCATTTCATGATTAAACTGTCTGTATAAATCAAAAGTATTTTGCAGATAGGAGTAATGAAGCATTTTAGACTTCAGTGTTTTTTCATCCTCTTAGTATCAGTTTTCTGATCTCAATTTCTTAGAAACACAAACACATAACGATATTGATTATTCATGTAAAGAGTTTCTTTTCTTGAATCTTTCGTACAATCACAAACAGTTCAATGGTAACCTCATCATCAACTGCAAGATCTTCATCAATAAATAATTCATTGAAGAGTTACCCAGATGAAATTATGTGAAGAACAGTTGTTGTCGCCGTGTCGATATGAACAAGTCATATATAAAACTCGTTGTCAAATTTTGCATTCTTACTTCATTAGTTCACACCTTTTATTCAATGTACCATTAATAAAATAGTTTATCTTCACATGTTTATTAAGAACGAAGTATGCTACAATAAAATTGATTAATTTATGTGTTACATAAAATGTGTACATAAAATAGTGGGCATTTGATACATCTAACATTATCCGTTTCACTGTGTGATGACAAAGGGAATTCTTTCGAACAATTTTAAACCTTGTTAACATGATACATAGTGTGTTTCTGTGGCTTATTGTAATGATGAAGATAAAAATGATTCACTTTTGGATTGCTCCACAAACACTCAAAAAGTAGTTTATTCAATTCTGTAGGTCTCATCCCTATTTTGTACTGCAGCCGATTATCGTTTCATAATTTTAGATTAGTTGAAACTGCATGCATAAAGATTTATCACTTTCTTTTTTACTAAATATTTATAATAATCCTTCAAAAGTATGGGCCTAGATATTGTGTTCTTCTGAAGTTCCTAACTTTCAACTTCATTAACGGAATTGTGTGTGTTTTGTCAGCGCAAAAAATCTATTTATCTTGTTGTAGATGCGGAGGAATAGACCAATAATTATCATTTAAAGTCCAAGGACACCATTGGAGGATGAACCCAGAAAATTTCAAAATCCGGATATCAACCCCGGATCTTCAAAAAAAGGGGAGGTGTTGTGGATGCGGAGGAATAGACCAATAATTATCATGTTAACTCCAATGGTGTCCTTGGACTTTAAATGGACATTTCCTATTGGTCGATATCTGTTCACTTGTTGAATATTGTACAAAATGTTGTTTTCTATTTTATGGTACGATGTGGTGTGCTTGATTGGTATATAAACAAAGTATGTTTGAAATATAATGATTCATATCTCCGAGGCTGTGGCTTGTGTTCTGGACTCAACTGACTGGGCTAGACAGGGAAGCGAGACCAATAGAGACTCTAGGCCGTCCGTTCGTGTTTACGTGTCACTGTCACCGAATCGATCAATAAACGCTGCTTATCAAAACCTGCAGTCACTCCCGTCATAACAATCTTATCACATGAATTCGCTTGGATGCAACTAGATGGTTTGGATTTTCCAGATGACCTATCCATTCTATTGCATACCCACAATCAAACGCAGGTCAAGCCAATCAGTGTGGAAGAAGCCTCTGCATCACTAGACCTCAACATATACAAGGGAAAAAAGGGAGAACACTAATACAGTCACACTTGATTGAGAAACTTTGGAAGGGGTGGAAACACTCACCTATCTGGCCAGCATTATCAGTGAACAAGGAGGATCGAATGCAGATGTATAAGCAATGATTGGCAAAGCATGAATTACACATTCCTACAGTTAAAGTACATATGGAATTCAGAACAACTGTCAATAAAAACTGATTGATTCATATGGTTTTGTACACTAGATAAACTGTGATATATACCGTTTTTTTACACATTGATTATGTATATCCTTAATCAAAATGAAGTTTATACATAATCAGATCTTATCAATTGTATTGAGAATATTGATTTGTTTGAACCAACTACATAATCAATCAAACTGATCACATGTTGTTGTCTAGTGAGTAGTGATATAATAAGAAATAATGTTCTTTTTTCTTTTAAGCACAAATAGTTCATTATGTGATGGCACAATTCTTATTACAATTTTTTTTTAAAAAAAGCGTTTTCTGCACACATTCGACTTCTTTTTTTTCTTTCTTAATTCCAGTAAATCTAGTTTATTCATAAATAAGCATGAAACAAATAGTTTTGAAGTCAGACAAATTTTTGTTATTAATTTCGTTTTAGTTTGGAATAATGAAATTTTGACAATTTCGAATAAGTAATTGTATATATATGTATATACCTAATGTGAACGAAGACGTGATGTCGGGTTCTTCTTAGGTTCTTCTTAGTGCAGAATGAATTGTATCGACCAAGTTGTAATGTGGTTACTAGTCTAGGTGAAGCGACATTGCATACAATTTGTTGGGATAAGATGATGGTTGGAGGTAGTCAACAGGGAACTCTGAACCTGGGTTTCGTGCTATTTGGCATTCGCCAGTAAGGTGTACCTTTAATTTTGAGGAAAGTGATACTTCCTGATGGAAGTGTATCCTAAATCTCACTTAAAAGCTAAGGTGTTCACTTTTATACTCTGTGATTTTAAATCATGTTTATGCTTTAATTGTTGTTTTTGATTTGATTTAAAATATTTCACCCCGTGGCGACCACTAGAAACTATGAAGCACTGGACAGGTACTTCATTGTAACATAGAGCTTAACAGTGTACATTCATCACCTACCGGGAATCGGATCCAGGACCTTGGTGCTTCTCAGTAAGCTCCTAACCTTTAGACTTCTGAGTTGGCACTCAATGACTTATTCCGGTAACTTCAGTTCATTTTCTGTATTGCACAGTCATCATCTGACTGAGATTTGACGATCATATATGTGGATCAAATGTAAATACTTTCCTTATCTAACAAAAATCTCATGGTGTTTTGGAATTCGTCTTCTGACAATATTCTGTGTTATTTATTAACATTGTCTTTATACTCGATACCTTGGTTCGGTTGAGAGCTAATACGTCGTAGCTTGTGATAAAGTTCAAACATTCTATTTTACCTTAATCAGCTTTCGTTTGCTAATCGGTATTTCTGTCAGTTAATCATCAGTTAATGAATTTCGGGTTTATTTTGGATTTCAAACTGTTTTATCATAAGTTTCTAATTGATCAAAAATTAATGATGAATTATAGAGTTCAGCTTATAATACAGTCGATACTAATTCAAAAGTTATGTACGTTAAAATCTAAGTTACTTTTTAATTAATTTATGTAATTGATATTATGATAATACAATACAATTCACTATCTAGAAATGTCTAGAAGAACAAATTAATTTCAGTAGTTGAGATCATGAGTCAATTGAAGCTAGGCCATCATAGAAAACCTAGAAGCACTGACGGCCGTTTCGTCCTATTATTTAAATGATCTTCATTTTATCTTTACTATCGAATTCGAAATTATTCGATCAGAACAGTAGTTATCACGATCTTTAGTTTTCGATATATGTATTTAATAAAAGATATCCTTAATCTGTTTCAGATGTACAAGATGGTAAGGTTCGCAAGCGGATACGTCATCATTTAAGTTTTGTAAAGAGTCTTATTTTCCCATTTATATCATCCTTATTGTCATATAGTTAAGTTCCACGAATTTTCAAATGACAGTAAATTGTATCAGGTTTTTTTTACAGGCATCTATAAACAATTTATTTCTTCAGTACCAAACGACTGACGTTGTGAAGTAGTTCAACTTTACTTCTATACATCTAGTTATTGGTTTTCTCACACTGATTTACGTGCATAGATTGTTGCGTTAAACAGTTTGCTACAAATATTGCATATCTGTCACACTTCTCTGTTCATATTTTCCCCTGAAACAGTAAATAACAGATTTCCATTGATCTGTTCGGTGCACTAGTCAGTAGCTTAAATAAATCAGAATGGGTGTGGCCGTTCTATTTCTCCCAGAAATATTTTTCTTAGTATAGGAAGATTTACGGAGATCGTAAAATTTTTATGGTTGAAGTAACAAACTTATCAGATGGTTCACATTTCTAAGAAGTCCAGTGCTAGGACGAAACAACCACCCAGTGCTTCCACGTTTTCACTAGTAGTCTAACTTACGAAAAAATTCTGCAACCTCGGAAAATCTCCTTATGCTACCTTTAACAATCATTTGCTCTACAGTGACTAGCCTTAAGATGCAACTGTAGAAGTTCTATTAAGAAACCATGACTAGCGGAGTTTAATTATGTTGAATGTGAGATAGTTATCAACCGCAGGCGGTGGATGACGGTTGTGCAATATCTTGGATTGATTCAAACCAGGTATGTATTTCGTTTGATGCCAGCTCATTGGTCTAAAGGTCAAGCGTCTGTACACGTGACCTAAAGTGCTTGGTTCGATTTTCGGGAATTGTAGTGCAGGTTTAGCTAAGATCTGTTCGTGATTTAAACTATGAAAATATTCATTTGTTAAATACCAATTGTCCAGTAAGATAGTTGAGTTAAACTATTTCAGCTTACATTCACAATGGCTCAGGTGCATTAACTTTTTTCTTCCCTTTAATAATAAATTTCAGTATTCCTTCTAAATTTTTTTAAGGTTTGATCTTTCTTTGTACTATTGGTTCTTTATCATTTTAGTCGTCTATTTATTTTGTTATGTTAATCAACTGACAACGTGAGCCAATGTATATCTGTGCCAAGCTCTATGTTGATAATATCTGTCTGTTTGTTAGTAAAAACAAAACATTTCGTAAGAATTCTTTCGGGTTTCTCTCATTTTCTGAAATATTTTCGCTTAACAGGCTTCCGTATCGTGTAGCAGTGGATCACTGATGCCTCCAGGTAAAAACCTAGGTATGTTTAACCATAAAAAAGAAACAAAATTAGTAAAATTATATCGAGAAACTGTCTTAAGTCCTTAGGAATATGTCAAGTTTTCTCCAATGTTGACTAGATCTGTGAGGCAAGCAAATAGAAATTTTAGTGGGTATACAATTGGCTTCTATTCTGGGCCATATTTGATAAACTCTCGGTAGTTGCTTTCGTTTATTTCTTGTAGATCATCCAATTTTTCTTTTTTCTTTACTTTTTTTCACTTTACAGAACTCGTATTTTCTGAACGTGGATATGTAGATATGTTACTTATTGTTAGAGATTTATATATGAAACCTTTCCCGAAAGTTGATGTTAATTCAGTAATTGGTTTATCTACGGATCATTTATTAGGAGATACAGATTTATGTACAGCTTTATTCCCGTGTATTAATGAACTTGTTACTTCTCATGAGAAAATATTTCGTGTTCTAGCTGGTTTACATCTAGAACGTGAAGATCATATTATACCATCATTAGGAGCTTATTTGGTTCAGTTAGTGAGTTTTAAATTTTAATTTTGTAACACAATATTCTTTTTATAAAATGATTGTTCTTGTATCTTTTTATTTTTGAATTACATCAATTTGTTTATTTGAACACATATGCGCCACACAAATCTCATTTGATTTGTGCAAGGGCTGTGATACTACCCGGGTGCCCAAACCGAAGTAAGTGTTTTTCTCAAGGGGCCACACACGGAGCCTTCGACCTAAAGGTCTGATCCACAAGGCAGTGGAGCAACGTAAGGAGATGCAGTCACATGGAAGCCGGTGACTAACGATTAGTTCATACGCCATTTGTTCCTTCAGGATCCTGGAGCCCATGTAAACCATTGGTTTGAAATCAGGGTTTTCCAACTCCCCTAGGTGGACTCTCCATACCCACCAACCCGGTTAAAGTGCCTGACATTCGCTTTTCGTTCTCTCAATTTCGTAAACAACAGTAATGCCGCGAGAAGGCAGTGAATAAGATTTTCCTGGCAGTAGTTATATGCATGTGGCCATGTGAGAGCATTTGGAGAGAGAGCGGACTCTTCCCACTCTCAGCCATACCAGGGCACTTGAGGGAGACTTACATCAATAGGTGGAGGTGTTATATCTTCGTTAAAATGATTAAGTATTGTAGTTTTCAGTTGGCTTCCGTTAAATTCTATCTATGAGCAATTGAGAATCTAATACAAACACGAATGAATATGCATTTAATAGTCCGTACGTCTGATACGCAACAGCATTTCAGTTTTAATAATTCATATACTATTATCCGAAAACGGGACTTTCAGGATAATTTTATGTTCCAGACAGAAGTCAAATATTAGAAATGAATAAATCAATGACCTTAGACCACATGACTTAGTTAACAAACCAAAAGCAGTAACAACCACTAGGTTAACAACGACTGTTGTTACACAAGTAGGACTTAGAAAATGTCGTCGAATTTATTGTTTAAACAAAGAACTAATATTTTAAACATAAATGATAGATATCCTGATCTCTTCTTATCGTTAGATCACGTAACAGCAATATCTTCACTTTAAGTTTAAAAGAATGAGAAAAATTAACAGAAGGTAAGCGGAAAGAAAAAAAATTTAACTGAAGCAAACGTCACAATGAAAGTTACGCATGTGTTTTTTCTTCAGATCAACTCTAAGTTACTTCAGTCAAGTTGGTCAATGCCATATTCCTACCATTTTTTATGCTAGTATAAAGTAACTATTTTATTTATTAGTTGCTTAGACTAAATTTCTTGGTTTTATATTCTTCGATATCCGTTAGTTGATTAAGTGTACCATGATTCGTTTTGATCCTATCTTACAACCGCATGGTTTCTCTCGCTAACTCTTCTGTATCGAGGTTCTTTTCCATAAGGCGAGGTTGTTAACCTCACTCCCAACTATCCTTCGTTTGCTCGAACTTGAGATTGAGAGTAACTCCTCGATAATTTGACTAATAATCTTTATCTTGATTTCTTACACAGCAGCATTTGTCTCATTAGTGTAATATATAGAACAAACAATAATGATTGACTGCTTATTAACTAAATACTGATAAAATCCTCCATAACTCATTCAATGACTTCTTTAGTGAATTGTTTTTTTAAATCGGATCAACTGTAAATGTGAATCTCCCATGAATTACTAGTCTTTATTTTGTACACGCTATGTACGTTCCATAAAAAAATAATGTTTCAGAGAAAAAAAAGCTTCATCTATTGGAAACATTCTGTTCGTTTATTTTATTATTGAATTACACTGTATCTCTTGGATGATTGTTACACTTGTTCAACTAGATAACTAAGAATAAGAAACTGAATAATACTAATTAAACAGGTTTAAAAACTAAATCTGTCATATTTATGTATATCTATTCACCAAACAATAGTATTGATAATAATAATAATAATAATAATAATAATAATAATAGTAATAAAGTATTTAATGTTATTATCAGAATGGGTTTTGTGGAGATTTTTAGAAATTTTACTGGTTGAAATCATGAGTCGATTGAAGCTAGACCACCGTGGAAAACCTGGAAGCACTGGACGGCTGTTTCATCCTAGTATGGGACTCTTCAGCAGTGCGCATCCACAATTCCGCGCCCCACGAGATTCGAACCCCAGAACCTATCAGTCTCACACTAGGCGCTTAACCAGCTAGACCACTGACCACTGATAAGTCCTGGGTTCGAATCTAGCGGGGGCGGGATCGTGGATGCGCACTTCTGAGGAGTCCCATACTAGAACGAAACGGCCGTCCAGTGCTTCCAGGTTTTCTATGATGGTCTAGCTTCAATTAACTCATGATTTCAACCTATGTAATGTTAATTGACTTAATCCATTGTAGAATCAGTAACATCTCCATAAAACAACTACTTACTTTAACATTGTTTATTCTTTAATGTTATTGGATTAGAATGCGATTTTTAATTAATTTGCATAGTGATTTAATACTTGTACTGTTTTTATACTGTAAATATAACATTACATAACACACTTGTTATTACTTTAACATTGTGAAATAATAATCTTATCCACGCAAATTTGCGCAAATACAGTAGTACACTGTTGTTTTTAATGTCTTTCAGTCAACATTATTGATTAGGTTGTTTGTTTGAATCAATTTATGAATTTTATTAACGTCACTTTTTTGTCTTAATCTTTATTTCTGTTCAGTTTGATCAAGAAAGTCTTTCATCCTTATCACAGTTATATGGCCATTTCCTATATGCACAAAAACGTATTCGCGAACGTTTACAAACCTGTAAAAATCATGCACGAATTGCAGCTTTCTTTCAGGTATGTTCACACTTATATATATCGACAGAGTATTCAAAAAAATCATTTATTAATGTTTTTCACACTAATAAACCGATATTTGTAAATAGATAGATTGATGTATTTCAATGTGTACCTTCAGACGTTAGGAAGTTGGATGTAGCCGGCTGGAAAACCTGGACTTATGTCTCACACTGTCTACTTCTTGTAAGCGAAGCGCATCTGCATTGTTGAGGGAAATGACACTTCTCTTAGGATTCGAACCCGTTTCACTCAGATTCACAGCGATCCAGGCCTCAACTGATCTCGTGAAGGACTGAGGTATTTATAACACATTAATTACTGAATAGTGATTATCTGATGTTTGTCTAGTCCTGTATTATTGATTGAATTCTATCAATCAATTCGAAATGTGATCAATACCTCCGTGCACGTAACATCTATATTTATTGCATGTGATGTCGAGTCTGTAACACTCAGAGTGATTATTCGAATCATGCACCATAACATCTCATAGAGTTGTGGTTTCTACCTCGATCTTCGAATTGTATATCTGCTTTGACTGACAGATAGCATTCAGAAAATAAGATAAATTAATGGCAATAAAATACGAGTAGGTGACCTCCAAAGAACTGGTTCTGTGATTTACTGAAGTTTTGTACTTCAAATTAATGAGAAAGAATCAATAATGCCAGTAATATTTAAGGTATCTATTATTCATCCAGAGATAATATTTCCAATATTCAGTAATCACGATGTTAGGGAACAGCAAATGAAATTTCGGAAGTTGGTTTAAAATGAATCATAGAATACATTATCCCAATGCTGATTAATGTTCTTTCAAATTGTATTCTCCTTGTTCATGAAATATAATAAAGAGATTTCATTATAAGCTCTTATTTCCACCATATTTATATCCCTTATTCGGTATATTCTAGTATGCTACAATTCTATATTCATAGTAGACAATTGAGGATAATTTTAGTCATTTAGAATATAATTTTTCATGAAATTTACATTGTAATGTGCAATATTCACTCATTCAATAAACAGAATAATAGTAACCGAAATTACTGAATACAATACATCTGTTGAACATTGAAAACGTTTCAGCCAACTTAAAATGATCCCATAAATTTACATTTCCACATGTTTGTTTCTTTCTTTCTCAGAGAAAAAAATTAAGTGATTCTTTGGCGCCAGTCCTAAATTCTCCTTCTTTTTCCTTTATATCTCGATTGTATGCATGTGTGTGTGTGTCTGTGTGCGTGCGTACGTATGTGTGAGTATTTATCTACTTGTAAAATAAAGTAACTTCATTTTTGTCTTATTTCCATTGCTTCTATTCATGAAAAAGATGTTTGTTTTTTTATTCAAAAGAATTGGTTGTTTGTTTCTAGATAGAATCGGGTTAACAACCCTTTTTTTTGTTAAAAAAAACTATTCTCCCGTATAATTACAGCTGTTTTTAGATATAAATGATAGTGAACTTCAATTGGTTCTCAATGGTTTGTAGTTTGTAAACAGTGTAATAATGATTAAATTTGTCCATTAAAAGGGATACAATAGATTGTTACAAATCAGAATTCCAAAAAAAATGTTTATTATCTTTAGTGTTTGTAACTTTGGAAGTGATTGACTTTGATTTTTTGTTGTTGAAAATAATCGTTAGTAGTTTAGCAGGTTAATAAATTTAACCAAATAATACAGCTGTCCTAAAAGATAAATTTGTATGATATATGTATGCAGAATATGGTTTATTGTTTTTTGGGGGGAGGGGGCTATTAATGCTGAATATGTGAATCTGTTCTGTTGGGATACATTGTTTATCTTTTAAAGTAGTAGAGCAATGTCTGATCAAGTCATAGATTCTAATTCTGTTTCATCTACACCATTTGTTTGAGCAACCAAGTTGTTATGTTCTTATGACCTGTTATTCATCATGTGATATGATCGTCAATTAGAACACCGACTTACTGACTAGGCCAATGACAAATAAACCAGTACGAGCAGTTCAGAGTCAATTCTGAGTCTTTATTGGTCCACCAAGATAGTAGCTTCTCTCCTAACCTGGCCGGTTCAGTCCAGAACGTCAATATCAGCCTCCATTGTACGAATAATATATTTCAGATATACTTGGTTTACATAGAAACAAACCCGACCGCATCACACCATAAAATAGAAAATAAAAATTATACAAGATCAAGGTAAAAAGTGGCTATGATTGTGAGAGACTGTAACTAATAAACCGGGAATAACTTAAGAATAGTAAATTGTATAATAATAGTCAATAGATCAAATAAAAGTTCATAATAAAAGGAGTATAAAGTCACATATAATGTAGTCACTTGATAGTTATACAATAAGAATATATACATATTCATAGTCCATGAATAGATACTAGCAGTTACCTCTCGTCCGGATATAACACAAATAGTATCTGTAACAGTCAGATTTAGAATATGGCTGATAGCCATTTATTTGTACCTTCGGTTAATTAACTAAACATGTGTCTATCTTTTCCAATGATGTTTTGTTACAAGAAATATATATATATTTCTTGTAAATCGAAAGGTGATCTCAGATATCAGAAAATAAGTAGATCAGTTGTTTCTATCCAACTGTACTTCAAATGTTTCATATTTACTAGAGAGAGAAGTATTTACATGAATTGTTTAGAATGTTAACATTTTATGCGACACAATTTATGCAGTCTTAATTTATCATTCACTTATTAATTCATCTACTAATGATTTATTCTCTTCATTTGTCAACATTTTGTCATTTTAATCGTCATTAGTATAAAGGACCTTTATGTTTGGTACTCTTTATAAAGCTCTTCTTGTATAACAGTTAACATTATTCTAATACTCTTCACTGTGAAATACTCAATGAGTGAGTGAGTGTCCGTAATATCGAATTTTAACTACTTCAGTGGATAAAGCTTCATATTGAGTAGTTCCATGATACAATAATCCATACCATGTGGTAAATTACACACGATCAAATGTTTTAGATTGTTATTTCGATTGCAGAATTGAGTATACAATTTTTTTGATTACAGTTTTTTTACTTGTACTAAGTTGTGAGTATCAATTTAAACATCAACACTAGAATGAAAGTACATCCATCTGACAAGTCCAAAATAAGACAAAATGCATGTACTGAATTCCATTGGTAATAATATAGTACACCATAATTTGTTGAATAAATAATTTTCTATAACCATAAACAAAAATAAGTGTAAAAGTTGTACAATTCATTTAAAGCTAGTACTATTACTCTTAGATCTGATGTAGACATAGTCTATTGTGACCTGTGATCTAGTAATTATCAACATCTGTTTTTTTTTCCTATTTACAAAATATTTATTTCACTATCAAATATCACTATGCAAATACACAATTGGCGTGCGTTACTTGGTTTTGTTTTCATTTTTTAATTATGATGATCATGAGATCAGGTGATATAGCTTCTATTTTCATCGCTATCTTTAATCACATCATGTTCTGTCTGAATAATACTGCTATTCAAAGAATATTTGAGACTATATATATACCGATTGCCCCCATACTATCGTTGTTTAAAATGTAGTTGTTTGGTGAAAATGTCAAATTATCGATCATAGTATAAGTGCCAATGATACATGATTACGCATCATCATTTTCGATGTAGTATTTAAAGATATGTTGCGCATTGAATGTGTATGAAGAAGAACATTTATGAGAGTGAATCTGTTAAAGAGGAAAATAGATGTGAACTAATGACTGAGAAAGCATATGACGTGTACCTATGTTTAATAATAAAAGTAGTCAATAACAAAAAGCAATAATACTGGGTTCAGATTGACAATTGTAACTAAGATTTGATAGTGTGAGATTCTGAGTTACACAGCTCCTTTTGATGAAAGAGCACCATCCTAGTGCTTGGAGTATGTATGTGGTTGGGGAGTTAAATACGATAAAATTGTTGCTGCATAATTAGCCTGACCCTACCTCCGATACTTACTGTTAACGTCCAACATTACATTTGCCGTACGGTATGTACTTGCTGTAACCTATACTGCGTCCAACGATAAAAGACTAAAACTAATCAGATTGTAGTATAACTCATCAGTAAAAACAACTTATCATCATGCCGACATATATTAGTTTATTTCTAACATAACTTTCAGCTCAGACCTTTAATTGTGATCATGCTGTATTTCCCAAACTTTGCATGATTTAGTTGTAAAGCTGATTTCTAATGTAACTAAATAACATTATCATCTATATGTTCCTTAACATCGTTTTAGAATCTTTCAGACCTAACTTTTATGTTTTGTGACCTGTGAGCAAGTCACCAATCAAAATCTTGATTCTAATTTGATCGACTTCGCGTTTACTGTTTACTCCATAGTTTAGTAACTCCGAATTAGCCAATCACTCGTCCGACCAGCACTGTTAACTTTGCGTCAACAGCTAAGTTGCTATTGATCCGATATTCGAAAGCCAGATGTGCCCTGTCTTTGAGTCTGAAAGCCAGCTATCAGCCTGTACCATACTTAAATTCGAAACAGACGTGGGATATATTCAAATATACCGGACCAAAGCACTCTATAAGGTTAAAAAACCCAAATATATATGAACAATCCAAATGTGGTTGTGAATAGGGAAGACTACTAGTAGTCGACTAGCCACAAATTAATAATAGTAAATCGTATGGTAATAGTTAATAAGGTAACCGAAAGCTTGTGAAGTATATATACATGGCAGTTTAGTTACGCAGTACTTATATTGATAATTCGAAAAAAACAATCACAACAATATTCGTTCAGTTATAACACTGACTAAATATTTGAACGTAAGAAAGGAACTGTGAACTAGTTGATATACTGTATTTGAGAAACATGTTATGTGAGTGAAATTTCGTTTTTTTTTCGAGTTTAAGGCTTACTTTCCAAACTATAGGAAAATAAGTGTCTTAAGCTAAATATCATTGATCAACAATTGTGCAAATGCTGATTCGCTAATCCCCCCACT